TATCTAATTATTCTATTACATATTTGTCTAAATTGAAGAAACCGTGTAAATTCTATATGTAATCCGTTTACGAAGACTAAATAATTGCTTATTCAAACTTTTATTTAAAATAATGATTCGTGTATGAAAAATTATACACGAAAAAACATATTAGATAAAATGATTTTATTGCAGCAAACTCATTGTAACTGTTTCGGTGTAAGAGAATAATTGATATTAGTAATTAATAGATTTGTAAAAATGAAAAAGTTCAAAAACTAAATCCGTTTTCAAAGACTAAACGTATGCTTATTTAAGCTTTGGTTTCAAATAATTATTCGTTAATGAAAAAATATATTCAACAAAATTCATATAATTTCGCAAAATTTTTCCACTCTATAATAAAAAAATTAAATTTATTTATTTATAGATCAATCACATCATTCATTTCATCTGTTTGTAGGTAGACCTATTAATATTACTAATACAAACAAAATTATTTGTAAATGAGAAAAATTATGTATTTGGAAAAACAACAATCAAATTGTAGGTTTACGTTGTAAATGTTACTTAATAAGTGATATTAATTGAAACGTTTGTAAACTAACGCGACTTTTTTTTAATCTTTCATGTTTTTTGTAGTGAAAAAACGCAAAAAAGAAACTTTTTTTTTGTATCAAGTTTTGTTTTAAAGATAGTCGAGACTGATACATCAATACCGCCGATATTAAAGCAAATTATACATTGCAAACATAAAATAATGTTTGCATAATGTACAATAATTTACTTTAATGAAATATATTTTAAAAAGGAAAAGAAAAAGTTTTTTCATATCTAAAATAAAAGTATTACTTTTTTATATTTATTTAAGAAATTAAAACTTAATGAAACTCGATCATAATATTTCATAGTTAAATAATAACAGAAATGCGTGAGTTTTGTGCTTAAAGAGATTTCGATGCTTTTTTAGGTTTTGGCCAAATCGCGTAAATTAGTACTGTTAAATTTCTAGTAAGATTGATTACAATTTGTTATCAATATTATTCATTTCTGATTATTTTTAATAAATAGTGTTAGTATTTTTTTTTTGTACAATTTTAAAAAAATTTCTTAGAATTTTCAGTCAAAATTAAAAATAAGAAAGAAATTCCTAGATTCAAAAATCATAAACCTTTATAATTCTGAAGTTTTCGAATGTGAAATATGCAACAGTTGTAAATATTAAAGATTTCTTAGAATTTGCAATTAAAATTAAAAAGAAGAAAGAAATTCCTAGATTCGAAAATTGAAATTTTTTATAAATCATTCTTTTCGTTTATCATAAACGATACAATTATCAATAATTATTTAAATTAAAGACAAATATATTAGTTTTCCAATGTGAAATATGAAACACTTGTAAATATTAATAATTTCTTAGAATTTGCAGTCAAAATTAAAAATAAGGAAAAAATTCCTAGATTCGAAAATTGAAAGTTTTTATAAATCATTCTTTTCATTTATCATAAACGATACAATTATCAATAATTATTCAAATTAAAGACAAATCCATAAGTTTTTCCAATGTGAAATATGAAATATTTATAACTGTTAAAGATTTTATTAGCATTTATGTTCAAAATTGAAACAATTTTTGTTTTTTTTAGTAATTTTGTTAATCGAGTGTCTTTACAAATCATCAATTTTCTCGTTTATCATACATGAGACAATTATCAATAGTTATTCATTTAAAAGAAAAATACATATTTAAACTTTCCAATCTGTAATATGAAATATTCAAAATTGAAAAAAAGAACAAACCGTTTGTAAATTTTGAAAATTGTACAAATCATCAAAAACTATACAACATTGAATATTCTTTTTAAAGTTAAATATTTTGACTTTTCAATGTTGCATTGGGGATGTTTGTAACTATTCCCAATTTGCTCTAATTTACGTTCAAAATCTAAAAAAAAATATCGTTTGTAAATCTCGAAAATCCAGTCTTTATACAAATTATTCAAAGATCTGTTATAGTTGTAACTATTACAGAATTCCTATAATTTCTCGATAATCATTCACGATTCTTGTTTTAAATTGAACCAATTCATACTTATAAGAGTATTGTATGTAAATTTATAGGGAAAAAAGACCAATTTAATGGTTTTTTTTCCTTAGAATTTATGTTTTATTTCTGGTAAACTAAACGAATTCAACTTTCAAACTCTCAACAATAAATCGAATTACACTTGTCTAATATTTTTATTGCATTAAAATCGTTGCGAAATTATTGAAACAGGTAATAATAATAATTGTTCATAACATCAAGATTGTTCATGGGGGAAGAATCTCTTGAACTCTTTCTTGCATTTGAACCTGATCTCTCTGATTACAGCCTTTTTGGATAACGCGAATTTCCTCGAGATGAAGTAAATCACGTCTTCGACTTTCCTCTCCTCCAATTTGAACAGCATCCTAGAAGCGTCTCCTTTCAGCGTGTGCGTCGCCAGTACTTCCTTCGAGAAGACGGCTTCGAGCAGACCGTACGTGGCGGTCGTGTAAAAATTCCACCTTACGCGATTCATCGTACTCGCTGGAAGTACGTTTCCGTTCGGCCCCAAAGTTATCATCCGAAAGTGAGCGTCCGTTATGTACTTTGGCTCCGGTTTCAACGTTGACGATTTTGGAACGTAACTTTGGGCGGCAGCTTCCAACAAATTATAAAATTCGCTTATCAAATCTTCCTCATAATCTAAAGAAGAAACAATAAATTAGTTAAACCACCACAAGAATACAAGATCATCCTCAACTCACTCGATGTCTTAATTACGTCGCACGTGTACGAATTAAGATTGTCGTCCGAAATGAAGCACTTCTTGTTCGGCAGGAAAGAGTCGTAGAGATTCGACTGCTCGAGAACATTGTAAAACGTTCTCGCTTTTTGCTCGTACCTCACCAACACGTATTTATCATCTGCAGATGAAATCGGATCAAAATACTAATGAAAAAGAAAAGCACGTGTAAATATACGTAAACTCACCCATTTTCTCTATTTTTTTTTTCCTTGTTTAAATTTTAAGAATTAAATGTTAACGTGCAGTTAAAA